AGTACTGTTTCATACCTCATCATATAAAAATAAATCTGATTATACATCTGTGGTTTGCAGTTGATTTATTCCAGAGCACCTGTGCAACAATTAAATTTTTTGAGATATTGTGTTACATTGAAATATAGTGATAACTGAGATTTTTGAACTAAAAATTAGATAATTTATTCAAATTACGTGTATATACTGGTAATTAATTAATATGCATAATTTCAACCCCGAACTAATCTCTTCTATGAATTACCCCATAGCACTTATGTACTAGTATCTAGTTTTAATGAAATTTGAGGAGTGGATATCTGTTGAATAGCCAAAAATATGCTAATTTATGCAAATTGTACAATTAATATACACAGACTGCAATCAAACACTAAACAGGCCTGTGGAGTATCCATGTTTTATTGGAATGTAATGTCAGATAAGTATTTGGGATATTGGTGAAAAAGTTGAAATTTGAACTAATGAATATGCAAATTTTGTAAATAATATGTAAGAATTTAAACCAAAACTAATCAGGTCTGTTCATTGTCCCTGAGCATTTATGTACCAAGTTTCATTGAAATGCGGTGAGATAATGGTGCAAGGGACATACATAAATGCATACACACAGACAGGATAACAGTAAAGATCCCCATTGTGTGCTTTACACATGGGAGTCAAAAATAAAAATAATCCCCTTTCCAGCTCCCTTGGTTGCAGTATGATTACATAATATGTCCACCATATGTGTAATGCTGTGACAATATAGTTTATAAAATTATATATAGTTATTGAAATTTAATTTAAAATTGTTGTTATTTTGTTAGACTATAAAAAGTCTATTGTGTGTGTTAAAATACTCTATCATATAATGAGGTCAAAATTAAAGCATAGGTCTACAAACACCAGGTTCATGGCTAAAGCACATGCTCAGTTCCTCTATCATAGATAGCGAGTCTATGGTTAAAGCACAGTCCATCAGGTGTTGCGAGACTGTGGCTAAAGTACGAGTAACAATTATATTTAGATGAGTGTTGAAACAATACACTGTAGTTTACCTCAGTTTTAAAACTGTCTCGCTGACACTCAAATACCATGATACCTCAGTAATGATGTTTTAGTTTCTCGACTGAAACCTACAACAACAATGTCGATTTCAATATTATTTTATGGGACGGCAACTCTGCATGAGATACTTCCGGGACCAAGGTCAATTCTGTAGTCCTGAGGTCAGCTGTCGAAAAATAAGACAAGCGTACTGCAGTTTAAACGATTAGGCAGTTCCTTGGTGCTCCTTACTTCAAAATCTAGAACTTAAAGAGATATGATTTTACGACAAAAGTATAATTATATTACAATATCATTATTATTTCCATAACGTTTTTTCATGATGCGGGGAGAAAAACAGCGTTAACATCTCGCAGTTTAACGTTTCGCAAACTACGAGATGTCAGCAGTTCACCACTGCATTATGGGTAACCTCCCTTCATTTGCATATTTTTTATTTTTCAGCTCAAAATTTTGTGAAATTTGATAGGATTTTGCAAAGAATTGGGAACTCTTGCGGTGCGAGTCGTGGAAAAACAAGTAGAGGTGCAATGTAAGGTATTTATCCAACTATTTAACGTAATATTTAGTAATATTCTGAGCAGAAGGGGGACGGGACGATCGACGGGGAATGATGGAGTTTTTTCTATTTTCTTGAGGCCTGGCAGACAACTTCAACCATGCCATATTGACGTGCGCTATGTCGACTTGTTTCCAAAATTACGTCAAAATCAAATACGTGTATGTGTTCCGTGTTTGACATATAAGACAGTAGACATACTAGCGTATATGGACTGGCTCTGTTGAGCCCCATAAAAGGCCCATCGAGTCGTTTCTGCAATTCGCTCGTCGGGTTCAGGGAATGTGAAAAATACTCAAGTCGAACTCATTTCACACACAAGCCACAGAGCTCGAGCCATTTTATCATTTTAATACCGGCTTTCTCGAGACTATTTGATACTCTAGGAATATTCCTATATATTATTAAAATTTTCCAAATTTACCCAATCGCTGATTTCATCGGTGTTTTTACGCATTGCACAGTCTTCGCCCTACTTTTCTGTTGTGTTTACATGCTATGTGGTACACACACAGTGGAAGGACCATCCCACCACAAATGTAAATCACTCTCTGACTCACCGTGTTCTCAGTATTATATATTTTCACTTATACCACATGCATGTGCATGTTTTGTACTGAGAACAAATATTAAACATCAACGAAGGAAAAAAATAACAAACCAACACTTGTGATGTGAAAGCAATATTCAACACAAAACAAATGTTGTACTCATCTCTCATGGTACAAATATCAAAAATAAATTTGAAATTATAATATTTTACGAGTCTAAATATTAATGATTGACTAATCACAGCAGTGTAATTCATATTTTTTTTAACATTAATTTTGTGTACATTAATTTTGTGTACACATTTTGTGTATTGCAATGAAAATGACAGATCTCTATTAATCCTGGTAACGTATGTGACTCGATGAACTCCAACCTTTTCAGCTTAAAGACACTGACGTACATTTAGAAATTGGGATATTAAACACAAAGGTTTTAAATTTTTGTTTATCATTCCATGTTCAAGTACACCTGAGTAGTGTCACTACCATGCAGGTCAGTGTTTTAGGAGCAATTTTTACCGTTGAGATTTTTTAATTGTATTCCAATAGTGCATAGTGAGTTCTTCAGGATAGTTAGTGTTGGATCAAAAAACTTGCATACAAACTGTATGGTACCTGTATAAAACGACTAACTGATTAATTTTGAAATAAATATAATACGACTACAATGTATAATCCTATTCGAAAGTTTATGTAATTTTTGATGCTTCTAAAAACAATATGTATTTACTCACAGCATTGTGTGTGATATTCTCTGTATTTATTTATATTACTAGGCTTTATCGTGGAAAATATTAAATATGTATCCTAGTGCAAGTATCTTGAATTAATAAATATAAAGAAAAGATATTTGGCAAGCATTTTTAAAAATTAGTCACAACTTGATCGATATTTTACATATATTAAGTTTTGTTGGTAAAATCTAAATATTCACAGTATCACAAGCATCTGTCATCACTACGGGTTGTGATCAATATGGGTCCCATACGATGCATGTTGAATACATTTTTGTAAAGTGTCACAGTCATTGCTGTGGGTTGTGTTCAACATGGGTGATGGTCACAAACGACATGTACAATGCATGTAGAATACATAATTTCTGGTGAAGTGCCAGTCATTGCTGCGGCTTGTGTTTGATATGGGTCCCATACAATGTATATAATTAATGTAGTATACATAGTTTGTTGTAAAGTGTCGCAGTCATAGCTGCCGATTGATTATGTTCGATATGGGTCCCATACGATGTATATAATTTCGTATACAGTAATTAATATTGTTTGTTGACACACAGTTTGACTGTGGAGCTTTAAGATATTGGAAATTGTTATTAATTCCACAACATTTTGGCTTCAGGTACAATAAAAAAGAAAAAAACAATAAAATTAATTAGAAAGTAAATATACAAACTGTAATGACTAAAGTACAAAAGTCTGTTAGCATAGGGGGGTGGGGTGTCTTAATTAAATTGCTAGTACATATATATGTATATACTTATCTTCCTATTATATCGCCAAAAATATTTTTATTACATTCATCACAACAAAATAAAACATGCTTGTCCTGAGAATGAATATTTTTCATAAATATACCAAATTCTCACCTGTTGCTAGTCTTCCTGTTAGTGGTCAACAAAATGATCATTTTAATACTTTTCATGGCAAAATTGTTGATTATAATGGTACTCCCTTGACCAAACTCACTGACATATGTTGTAAACAAGTACTGTTTGTATTTTTCTAAAAAGCAGCTGTTCTTATTCATATCGATTTTTTTCAAGTGAAATTTTCAATCATTTTAAGCTAGTTATCAATATGTGTACTGATTGACCATAGACTAGTTATTGTGTACTAATTGTGTATTCAGTGGCCCTGATTAAACAAGTTGTCACTATAAAATATCAATATCTCCGACTGGCTTGCATTTCTCAAATACTCTGTCATTCAATCATAATAAATTTGCAGATGCAATAAACTAGAGTAATATTTCAACGCGCGAGTTAAAATAGTTACCAATAGAGTGAATGTACTAAAATTGCAGTAATTAGTCCCCGTTCGGACGAAGTCCGAAAACGGGGACTTATAATTTGGTCTCCATCCGTCTGTGCGTCCGTCCGTCCGGAGTCGTATCTCAGAATCCCTTGGACCGATTCCGTTAATTCTTTGCATGTGCCTAGTACTTTATGTTGGACATGTGTACATGCAGTGGTTTAGCGATTAGATTCAAAATGGCCGACTGGCAGCCATCTTGTTTTTTGAAAATGTCGTATTTTGAACATGCTTTGTCAGTTTTCATTCAAATTTAGTACATAGGTCGTACATGTTGGGATACATGTCCCCAACCGTCCGCGAGTTCTTATGTCTGTCCGTCCGTGTGTCCGTCCGTCCCTGCGTCAATCTGTCCAGAGTTGTATTTCAGAATCCTGTTGACCGATTCCGTTCATTCTTTGCATGTGCCTAGTACCTTATGTGGGACATATGCACATGCAGTGGCTTAGCGATTCAATTCAAAATGACCGACTGGCAGCCATCTTGTTTTTTGAAAATGTTGGTAGACTGGCAGCCATCTTGTCTTTTTTTTTTATGCGGTATCTTAGAAGTGCTCTGTCAGTTTTCATTCAAATTTGGCACATACATGTACTTTATACATGTTAGGATGCATGTCCATGACAATTTGTTTCAAAATCTGGTCAAGGATGGCTGATTGACATGGCCATCTGACTTTTTGGCCTTACTACTATATTTCCACAATTTATGTACCATTTTCATTCATATTTGGCACATACATCATACATATCAGTGTGTTTCATAATCAGATCAAAAATGGCCGACTAACGGCTGTTTTTATTTTTGGCCATATTACTACTACACGAAACACGTGTTTTGATGTAAATAAACAATCTGTTGTATACGCCACTTGGAACTCAAGTTTCAAGGACACGCTCGCGACAACCCCTCCACTTTAATATGACGAGCACAAAGAGAACTTTCAAAAATTTAACGGGGACTGTGTCATTTATTATGGATTTTTATTTATAGGCTTTGTCCGGTAGAATTTGATCATTGTTTTTATTATATTTGTTAAAATACTGTCTTGAATTTAGTTCAAAACCTTTTATAATTATTTTATTAAATTGATGCAATTTAATCGTGTCACAATTTAATCATGTCGCCTAAATAAAATCACTTATTAACAACTTAGAGGTTGATGTTTTGTAAACTATTCTGAAAAAGTTTCTTGAACTTTGGAGTCATAATATATTAAAAAATATAACAATTGTGGAAAATTGTCTCTGCATCATCAAATGTGAGAGTTATGCTGTATTTGCTCTATTTAGTAATACATGTGCTTATGTAATATCTATATTCAAAATAACTAATTTTAATGAGCATACGATAAAGGCAATATGGTATTATAAACGCTAGCATGGCCATAAAATATATTAATATTCTGTATGTACTTTAGATATAAAATCAAAAACAAAAAAGTCTGTTTATTATTATTTATTCTGTCCTTTTAATTGAATGTAATTTGTATTATTGAAAAGATTACCATAGATTTATCTGTGTTTTTAGACTAGTATGTGATAATTTGATAGTGTTATGAATATTCATGCATTGCGAGAATGTGGGGAGAAAAATATGTCCTTGTTTGTCATCAATCTGAATTACTGCAGCCAGTAGTACTTGTAACTCACAAACCAAATCTTTGTGAATCTGAACAAGAGCGTTAACCCAGAGGGTCTCAATAATCTGAATGACAAAACATATACTGCTTCACATTCTTATAGACTACATGTACTTAAGGTCTCACAGATGAATTTCAAACTCCACTTGGGCTCTCTGAATAAAATTTAATTGGTGAATATCCCGTAAGAAAAAACGAGATCAGTTTTTCATACATTTATTCACTTATTTTTGCGCAGGAAGGTAAATGCAATTTTTTCTCGAAAA